GAGAGAGAGAGAGAGAGAGAGAGAGAGAGAGAGAGAGAGAGAGAGAGAGAGAGAGAGAGAGAGAGAGAGAGCAGTCGTAGAAGCATCCAGTACATGTGGTCGGCTTTCAAGATCGCTGTCTTTCTCTCTCTGAGATTCTCTTCCCTCCCCTCCCCTACCACACACACACACACAGAGCATCCAGTACATGTGGTCGGCTTCGAAGATAGCTCTCTTTCTCTCTCTGAGATTCCTTTCCCTCCCCCCCCCTCCACACACACGCACACACACACACACACACACACACACACACACACACACACACACACACAAACACACACACACACGAAGTCTGACGAAACAGTCTGGTATAGTCATGCTTTTTTTGAGTGTATGGCGAATATGATAACACACACACAGAAATGAAGTTTATGTCTAGGTGTCCGATGGCTGTTTTTGGGCTTTCCGCGTGTTGTCCTAGAAGTTGAAATGGTTAGGTCGGGACAGTGGGTCCCGGTGGAGTTAGCTAGACAACATGAGGGCTGAGATCTCGGGGCAGAAATGTGATGGTTTTCATAGGCTCCTTCTTCCTCTCTCTTCTTTCTATTTTTTCAGTTTCGCTTGTCCTAGTCTCTGTCCTGAAATTGCATCCTTAGACATTTGTTGTCGTGAACAGAAAGTGGAAACATATCTCTTTGTCCATTTATCAAACGACTGAGTTTCCCGTTGTTGGTTGATACATTTCGTTGCCGTCAACAGAAAGTCAGTAGGCCAGTGAAGAGGTTGGTGGGTGGAGTCCAGAGGCGAAGAATGTGATACAAGTTTCCTTGCTGTCGACAGAAAGTAGTTCGTACTGCCTCTGGTCTCCACCCACCAACCTCTTCACTGGCCAGCGCAGGTACCTGTGAATGCAAGGGGAGGATCTTGGTGGTGTGGGAATTGACTGCGGAAGAGTGTGGATATGGTATCATAAGATAGCTGTTTTGCTGTTTTCCCCCCAGGGTGTCTATATGAGTCGGTGAAACTCGGACGAAACAGTTTGTCACAGCCCCTCGTTTGTTGTCCTCTTCTCCCCCTCCCTCTCTGCCTACGGTTTACCGTAGGCAGCTCTGTTTGACGATGAATGTTTTGTTATCTGGGATTGCTTGTTTGCAGGCAAGGGTGTTTTGATATCCTGGTTGGTCTTGTCCCGCCGTTTGGCCTGTGACGGAGGGGGCGGTGCTTGCATGTGGGACTTGACATCTAGGATCTGTTTATGTTTGTTTCCCCCTGTTTTGTTATATTTGGCTGTTCCCTTCCTCTTTCTTTGCCTCTTTGCCTTTTGGCTGTGTGCAAGTGGGTCGATATGACACACGGGATTGGGGGCAGCCGCTGCTCAACCTACATCCACGTGGGCGGCCTTGTACGCAAGAGGTTCTTTTTGAACAGGGGGAGTTGTAAGGAAGAAGATTAAAAATGAAATCGGTGAAACTCCGACGAAACAGTTTGTCACAGCCCCTCGTTTGTTGTCTTCTTCTCTCTCTCTGCCTACGGTTTACCGGGCAGTTCTGTTTGTGACGATATATATATATGACGATATATGACGATATATGACGATATATGACGATATATATATATATCCTCAAACAGAACTTCGCGGTAAACCATCGGCAGAGAGGGAGACAAGGACAAGAAACGAGGGAGGGGCTGTGACAAACTGTTTCGTCGGAGTTTCACCGACTCATCAGGAGGCTGAACCCTATATATATATACAGCCCCTCGTTTGTATATAATATAGATATATCGTCATAGCGAACTGCCCAGGATTCAAAAAGGGAGAAAAGGACAGGAAACGGGGGGCTGTGACAGACTGTTTCGTCGGAGTTTCAGCAGCGCATCACGGCCCGAGGTCTCTACATTCTGCAGAGTCCCGTAACTGATGATACCATACGTGATAATCCACCTCAACCCAGGTTGCAGTTATATGGGTGATCGAGTCTGGGAATGAATGGTAGGGCCAGGTTGGGAATGTGAGCTTTGCTCTGTTGAAAGGTAAAAAACGAGAAACGAAAAGAAGAAGGGTACATATTATAATAAGTAGGTTGGCATGGACATCACTTGGGAGCTAATGCTGCTGTCCCCTCAAATCCACAAGCTAGATTGGCGTGGACAACATTTGAACCACCGACAGTACGAGCCCCCTCGAAACTTCTGGTGGTGTACATGGAAAGCGCGCTTTGGTTGTACCGGGCTGGCGGGGACTCGTTTGATTTTTTTTGTAAGGGAAGGGACCGAAAAAGACATTGATTAGGCAAGTTACGATCCAGCGAACTGATGGTGGCTACGGCTACGAGCCTACTCGAATGCGGGGGCAGTTGAGTATCATTTGAGTGGGCTCTTAGCGGAACGGAATGGAAGCCTGTGCTCTTCACAGTGCGATGAGGTCATTTTCCTTTTTGAGAAGACAATGAGGTCATTTCACTTTTTGAGACGACAATTAGAAGCTTGGGTTCTACGGATCACTGAAAATGAAAGACGGATGGGGACTGTATCTTTCCAGTTTAACAGAAGAATACACGGCAGTTGTCACATTTGGCCTCTAGTGGAGCTGGGCCGTTCCCCTTAGTTGCTTTGCTAGAGGAAGATGTTTTCCTTCCCCCTCCCTTTGGGGGTGTCAAGTGTGTATTGTATGTTAATAAGATCGTAGCGGCTGTCTGCAAGCCTCTGGGCATGCCAGTCTCCATGTACAGACTTTCATTCATGCCCAAGCTTATTCGGATTCTTGCGTTGTGGATATCTGTGAAGTGCTCTTTGCTGCATTGTTGGTTTATAACGTAAGTTGGTCTGTCATCTTTCCATCCCCATTCGCAAGTCTTTGGACATAGTTGTGTCCCGATACACAGGTGCAGGTTTAGCTACAGCAATGCGTTCGTATCTGGCTACTGAAAGAAAAGACCGATGGCAGTCTGACAAGCAACGGCGGTTTTCGGGTCACATTTGGAAAATGTGACTGTTCTGCATCGTGTTCAACCTTCAAAGGGGTGTGCTCATTTTGCTGGTCTCTGGTGTTGGTGTTGGTGTTGAAGCATACCCATGTCCGCGAGGTCTGTTGGTGTTGAAGCATACCCGTGTCCGCGAGGTCTGTTTTGTCATGCCATAGCTTTGATCAGGAACTTCCCCATTGTGATACAGTCACTCTATTGATTGTCGTCTGATATGTGGGTGTTGTGACCCAGGGTGAAGGATCTCTCTCTCCCTTTCTCTTTCTCTCTCTCTTGCCCTACCCTCTCCCCCCCTCCCCCCGCATCCCCCCCCACACACACACACAACCAGGGAAGCCCTTCCTTTGGTAATTTCTTCATGAATTCTTTCAGCGGCACACACACACGCACACACACACACACAGAAGAGAGAGAGAGAGAGAGAGAGAGAGAGAGAGAGAGAGAGAGAGAGAGAGAGAGAGAGAGAGAGAGAGAGAGAGCTCAAATCTCTTGCCCTTGCAGGCTTGTGAATGTATCAGAGCACAAACGACATTGTTGTGACAAGGTGGATGCCTGTGCGGTGTGTTCCAGAGCAGGTAGAGTCGTTGGCGACTGACATTGCTCCGCTTCTCAAGGACCTGAAGGAAGGAGAGCTGTTGCACAGCCTAGAGGAGCTGACCTGCGTAGCCGCAGATGCTGCGAAAGATCTTCGGTGGGTGCCTTTCGTCTCCCACCTGTGGTGGTTGACTGCACAACTCTCCTCATTCTTTTCCTCTTCGCATGTCGCATACTTTCTGGGTGTTCATAATGCTTGCACTGTGGCTGTGTTCGCTGACAGGTTGTTCATGGCATGAAAGCAAAAGAAGCACAACTAACGTGAATGAAGAAGAAAAGAGTAAAGAAAGAAGAAGTTTAACCCGCTTTTCTGTTCTTCTTGCCCTCTGTGCTATTTTTGATACATTCAGCGCGGGCCAGTCTAACGAAATGTGCGACTAACTCGCACTCTAGGGTGCGCAGGCATTTGATGCTGTTGATACTTGTGTGGGCTGGTCTCTACTGAAATGTGCGATGGTTCGTTGCTGAGGGGTCGACAGAGCAAGTGTAATGAACGTGTGATGGGGGATGGGAGGTGAAACCACTGTCTGTTGTCAGGCTAATGACTCTCTACTAGAGTTCTAGTTGAGTCTCTACCATGGTTTTGTGACTTTTGTTGTCTGTCTTTGAAGTGTAAAGTTGTAAACTCCATATATATCAGTGCTTCTGAGTTTTTTTTTGCGTGCCATCCCTTGCGCAGGGGCCATGCTAATCTTCTTCTCGATTGGCATACCACACTTTTTTTTTAATAAATAATTAATTTGGACCATTTTGCGATTTATGCGTGTCATCCTTGTGCAGGGCCCATGCTAATCTTCATTCTTTGTATCGGTCCCAATTTTTTTTTTTTTTTTTTGTTTTGTTTTGTTTTTGGGGTTCATAAGAATCATAACCCATCGGGACGTCAACCCCGCGGGTCACAGATGTCCCAAATAACTTTTCCTGCTCTTTCCTAGTTTACCATCTGCCCCTTTTTGTTTTTCATTTTTTCTTTTTACTAAGTTTTTTTTTTCCCTTTTTTAATATGAACACTCACTCTCGGAAGGTAATCTAGGGCTCTGCTTTCGTCTTCGTCTTCTTTTTCTTTTTTTTCTTTTTTTTCTTTTTTTTTTAAACACACCGTGTCGAGGGTAGGGCTTGCGTGCGAGCACTGTAGATTTTGTTGAAAGTTGTGTCTGAGTCCCATACTGAAAAATCCAACGCTGGGAACCTCCCTCCGCTTGTTGAGTCCAAATTGCCCGGTCTGTGTTGTTTTGCCGACAAGGAGAGTACTGCTGCCATGCCGTTGGTGCCTATCAGCTTCGAGGTCCGTCAAAAGAATTGTGGGCGCGGTTATCGTCGTTACAACCTGATCTCTGATCTTCTCCCGGGGGGGGGGGAGGGTGGTGAATTTTGCAGGAAACTGAACAGCGCAATTCTGACGGACGATAATATCAAGCTGCTGAAAGAATCGGTTTCAACATTGACGAGGACGCTGAAGCATATAGAGGCAAGATACTTCTTTCCCAATCCCCCCATAATTTCCTTATTTTCTTTTGGCGGAAATCAGAGTGCTAGGTCGAGCTTCGCTTTGCGTTTCATCCTATCTCTTGTTGTTATTGCACGTCTTTGATGGAATCCGGAAAACACAACCAATTCTGAATATTGCTGCCAAGCCTGCTAGACTTAGAAAACTCAGCAACAAGCGGGAAACTAACTCAGTAACGCATACATTCAAAAAAAAAAAAAAAAAAAACCACGCATACATTCCATGAGCAAAACTGAGAAATCAGCGGTGTGTCTCAGTCCGTGTTTGGCAGGTCGTTACAAGATAGAAAATGAACTGAGAGATACCTTTCTCGGTCGGCCTTTTGGCTAAGTAAGATCAAGTGCACTGTATTTGTTCTGATCAGTTTAATATCTGATCCGTGGCCCATCGGGCCACATCTTGGGGGAGTAGTCTTCGAATCCCCATCTTCCACTAGTGTTCCTCCCAGCCCTGCCTGCAGTCATCAGGACCAAGCCTGCTGTTATAGGAGGTCATTGTACATCTGATTGTCTTTGGGAATGGCCAGTTCATCCGCTGGACAGACCGCTGTCACAACAGGAGGGCACAAGATTTATGATACTCTTCTGAACAGATGTTTCATAGCTATCTAAAATGTTTTCTGTTCTAGGGTTTTTTTATTGTTTTTTTTTTTTTTTTTTTTTAAATACGGCTGTCTTCTCCTCTTATCGGGGACAAGCAGTATTTGCTAGCCTTTTTTTTTTTTTTTTTTTTTTTTTTTTTAATACAGCAGTCTTCTCCTCATATGGGGGACAAGCTGTATTTGCTAGCCTTTTTTTTTTTTTTTTTTTTTTTTGTTTTAAACAAAGCAAGGATCCCCTATGAGGAGCTGCACGTGCTGGGAACCAGGCCCAGCGTCCCGTATCAAATTCACACAGTGCCGGGGCCATTATCCGTTTTCGGCTGATGCAAAAGACACCCAGGTCTAGCCTATTTTTTTCCTCTGAAATCTTGTAACCACCTCATCTGTCAGCACGAAATCCGCACCACTTCGGAGGCCGCCAGTTTTTTTTTTTCAACGGCGCCCTTGGCCGCGCCCCGCCTCCCAGTTTTGCTTGTGGAGACAAAAAAATTCTGCAAGGCTGGGGCCGTGTAATGGCGGCCTAATTTCCTACCTACCCTTGTCTAGTAGTCCTTCCAGACCTTAATCGACCCCAGCCTTCCAACGGGAAGCAAGCTATTCCACTGGTTCAGGAGGAGATTGGAGCTAGGGTCTATAAGACTACTTTAAAAATTTACTACGCAGGCCTAAGCTATCCTAAGGCTATGGGTCTACGTCTACCTATCTCTGCTCTGTGCGGCGAGCAGTACCCAAGCTCCCTACACCTGGCATGGGCAGTTACAGAGTCTACAGACAGGTGAAATTTTCAGGTAGTCTTAGACCCCAAGCCCACGCCAACAGGTGTCTGTACCAGCCCACGCCAGGTGTGAGGAGTTTGGGTACAGAGTACTACAGACAACCAGCCAGGAGGCCCAAGCCAACAATCTCCGCTGGCAAACCCAAAGCATCTCCCAGGAGGCCGTGTCGAGTTCTATTTTTGTCTGCTTTTTTCTTCGGTACAAAATATGGTTTATCAGAATTCGCGGAGTTGAAGTCATGTCACATAATTTCTGTCTAAAACATTGCGTCTGTGTCGTATGGTTTCTCTTTTAAGGCCATATGCGGATGAGGTCCTTTTTTACTGTGACCGGGCACTGTTGTGCTCAAATACCTTCAGGGAAATCGTGGTGTGTGGGATGATGGCGACAGAAGACAGAAGGTTTATGGTCACACCACAGACGCTTCCTTTCCAATGGTCCAAAGAAGACACAAAATTGACACACGGCAACCTTGAACTAATACCAAAATCAGGCAAAAGAAAAAAATCAGAAAAAAAAAAAAAGGCCAACAGATCATGCTTTCAGTGTTTTTACATGGTTAAGTTAGGTTAACCCCATTAACCACTGGTCATGATGGACTGCACTTCAATCTCGACATGAAAAGGGGGAAAAAAAACCTACATCTCAGTCCCTCGAGGTGAGGTGGGGGGGGGGGGGGGG